AAAAAAATACAAACATAAATGTAATTCTTGTTATAGAATTCATGTTGGTTTGATAAAAGTATATATCCCTCTGAATGTTGTTGTCTAGTTGCACCATGTGTCGATGACTCTCAATCTCCCCGACTAGTCGATGGTTCTCCTACTTCACCATGGGTCGATGTCTCATTATGCACACGACTAGTAGATGGTTCTCCAGCTTCAGAAAAAACTACAGATGGATTTGTAGCACTAATAGTAGAAGCTTCTCCAGTTCTAGGACCACTAAAGGTCAAATTCGGAGACGACCAAGGAAAATAGTTAGTTTGGCCTCCACTTGATGCTGCTCCAGATTCAGTAGTACTTTGAGTCTGACCCTGAGAAGGAAAATAATTGAACATTCCACGAAATTGCAGAAAATCAATTCCGCCAATAGGTTGTGGATAATAAGCCAACTGGGGATTGTAATATTGGCTAGGAACATGACTAGTTCCATCTCCAAGGTTTTGTGTAGGGACATTATTGTACTCAGTAGGAGGTTGATATGGTCTCACCGTCTGACCAGGTGGGGTATATGATGGGCTAAGAGGAAAACCATGATTGAACACATTAGGGTCTTGTGCAGTGACAGTAGTGGTCTGAGTCTGAGTTTGTAAAGGGAAGTAATTCAACATACCATGAAATCGAAGAAAATTAATTCCACCAATTGGTTGTGGAAAGTGAGCCAAATGATGATTGTAAAACTGGCTAGGAACATGACCAATCCCACCTCCAATAAATGGGGGTTGGATTTGTGGATTGGGAGGTTGGGATAGTCTAACCATTTGGCCAGTTGGGGCATGTGATGGTCCGAGAGAGAAACCTTGATAGGACGTCCTAGGGTCTGGAGTAGTAGGAAAATTTGACGTGTTTTGTTGTTGGACAACAATACTTGAATCATTTTGTTGTTGAACAACAATTGAGTTTGATTTTTCAACTTTCTCACTCATAATTGTATGAGCTTTAGAGAGAAAATCTTCAAACCATGCCCTCCACTCCTTTAATTGATCTTGATTCAAACTCTCCACAGGTGTTTGTTCCCACCAAACTTTCTCTCGAGTTTGATCATTCTCATCCATTTGTTTTTCTTGCTGGACAATGATATCCTTTTCATCTAGCACCTCATCCAGGCGTGTGTTGTAGTTTCGGAGTCTTCCTTCTGTGTTATCTTCGATAGATCGTGTAAGATCATCTATTGGTAGATTTGGATTCCTGCATCTTTGGATGACAGGTTGAATGGATGGGTGCCAAAATGAAAATGGGTTGTTAGTTGGAGAAAAAACGAGTACTCCGGTGCTAGCGCCACAGAGTGTGCTTAGCTCACCGGCTTTTTTGAATAGACCTCGACGACGTTTTGAAAATGTTGCGTATAAGTCGTCTTGGTTTTCGATACGCCTCATCGGAATCCTTTGTCGACCTCTTGAAGTCCTACGAGGCATGATTCGATTTAGAATGTGTAATATGAAGATATGTTGGAAAAATATAGAAAGCAACTTTGTAGGGTAAAGGAATTTAACAAAAGCTAGGTTGAGTGTAAATCTTTATGGTTTGTGGAGGAATTTATACAAGAAGCTAGCCAACTGCAGTCAAATTTAATAGAAATTTGATTCATTATTATTTATACTTATTGACAAAATATTGTAGCATGTTAGGTTAATTGAACAAATTTGGAAATGCTTAAGGGGTGATTTTATGATATTTGCAAATCTAATTTGATATTATTTGAGTTTGACAACGAATTGATTTGACTTTGAATTTAGAACATTTTTATAGTACTTTTTATGCTAATTGAATTGCAGAAATATACCTGAAATGGCCAATATAAAAAATATTATGGACATTCAATTTATGTAACATATAATAATCGGCTATTTTGGTTTCAATTTTCTAGTCAACACATTAATTGCCAAATTGGTTTTGATTTGTTTGGAATTAACTCTAAATTTGTTTTGATGTACGAAATAATGTGATGATTATTATGAAGTTATTATAGATTCAAATAATTATCTTTATGAAAGAAGAATAACTAGTATCGACCCTGTGCATTTGCACAGATGTAAATAAAGTATTATAAATAATTTGTATGCTTATAATGATTAATTATTTTTATTTTACCTTTTTGGTGGCCAAATTTACGATTAAAAGGAGTTGAAATTTTTCTTTTTATTTTTTAAATTACTTTTATTTGATTGGATGTAATGTAGATTTTGGTAGGTCTTTTTTTGTGAATTATTTATTATATATATAGGAATTTCAAATACACTTTTTATTTAAAAAAATAATTTAAATGTAACCACTAATAACATCTAATCACATTATACGATCAACACATTGTATGGTTAACTGTCAGTAATCAAAAGTTTAAAATTTTTTTTTGTAATTTTGAAGTAATTAGTGTTAATTATTTAATAATTAAATAAAAGATTAAATACATCAAATGTAACAGTTTTTGGAGGGAAAAATGTTAAATTGCCACATAGGTAAAATTAAATAGGTTTTATTAAATGCTATTAGCTAGTAATTATATATATATAGATAAGTGGGTACAGTATCTGTAATTTCAGTATATTAAAAAAATAATCAAACCTTAGGAAAATAATAATAACAATAATAATAATAATAACAACTTAGGAAAATATAAATATTTAATAAAAAATAAAAAACCTAAAAAAGGAAATATTAAGTCTAGACAAAACTAAGGAAATAAAAAGAAAGTAAAAAATAATGTATATAAAATTTCATTTTTTAAGTAAAAATAATTTCGACAGAAAAATATAGTACAATTCTAAATATATGCATTATCCCTATCGTTCGAAAAAAAATATATTATTTAATTTTTTGTGTATGTATTTGATTGTATACCTCTTAGTTTCTTAGGTATTTAGTGTATGTTTGGAAGCACTTTTGTAATGGACTTTTGACTATAAAAGTCCATTTCCAATATAAAAAGATGTTTGGTGTAAACAACAAAATGGACTTTTAAAAAAGTAACTCCTACAAAAAGTCCATTTCAAAGAAGTTTATATTGAAGACTTCTTGAGAAGTCACTTTTCAAAAAGTCCATCTTGAAATAGACTTATCAATAAGTGTTTCCAAACAAGCCCTAAGACTCTTCTCGTCACATGTCCCTGCAACTATTAAAATAAAAGGCAAAAATTAATTAAATTACTAGATATATATAGATTTTCTTTCAATAAATGAGTTTTCAATTTAATTTTAATGATTATAATTTATGTATTATTAACTTTAGTATTTTAAAATTAGAATTATAAATCAGATATTTTGTGAATATAATGACAAAAAATTTCTTCATTGTTAAATACTTCATATGTACAAAGTAAAATATTTGAAAATCCACTGGATCACCTGTGATTATGTAGCGGCTTCATATTTAATGACTACTTCTCAAAACCTTTATGATTTATGAATGTGTGTGTGTATTTTTTTTTTTATTATTAGTATTTATGAATGTTCTTGTACTGATTGTTATAGCGTCAAATATTTATAGAGCTCGCGCTTCACTTATGCGGATGACATATTATCTTATAACGTCAACTATTGTACGTTTGTATATAAAAGCAAGATTCTGTAAAATCTGCTGTATATTTTAATGTTTGCGTCGACGATTGTTTATAAAATTAAATAAGATTTATATAGTTTCGTATGTTTTATGTCATAAGTGAATCGTTCGACGATTGTACGTGAACGATTGATTATAAACGATCGATTATAAAGTTGAATAAGATTTTATATATTTACATATTTTCATGTTATATATGAGTCAATTGTATGTCAACAATCATAAGATTCTATAGGATTTGGCCTATAAAATGCTATAGAGAGCATCAACTACCATTAAATTTACTTACATTAGTTTCTAGTCATAGAAAGATTTGCATGGAAAACATCAATATAAAAATTAAATATGAAATGCAAGTATTTAATTTTATTTTTAGTAAGTAGTATTTCAATGAAAATTTTGGGGCAGTGTTCATCGTAATTGTTATAGTCCGAGACTCCGAATACATTAATTTTCATTTTCCTTTTACATTTTAAGAATGTTAGTGGACTTAGGCTATGTTTGGTAAAACTAGCTGATAGCTGATAAGCTAGTTTATAGTTTATATGTAATTTTCTAGCTTATAGCTTATAGCTGAAAAGCTAGCTTATATGATAAAAGTGTTTGGTAAAATTAGCTGATAAGCTAGCTGGAATAAAAATTCAACTAGCTTATTTGAAAAGCTACCTAAACAAGCTTATCAAATAAGCTCGAGCTTTTTAAATAAGTTCGTCCTACCAAACGAGGCTTATTTGAATACAAGAAGCTTATAAGCTAAGCAAATAAGCTATAAGCTAGCTTAATTAGTTTGCCAAACATAGCCTTATATAGCTAGCGTTTTCAAATTTACCAAAAGTTTTGGAACTATACATTTATTATATTAAAGTTTTAAAAATGTAAAAGATATTCAATTTATTAATTATTTTTCGAATTAGTAATTTTGACATATTAAAACTTAATTATATTAATTTCAAAGGCAACAAAATGCTATTAAATTAAGATATATTCTATATTTGTTTTTTAAATTATATATATACTAGTACACATGTGTTGTACTGGTTTTATATTTACAATACTAATACTAATGTAGTACACATGTGTTGTACTAATTTTATATTATAGATGTTGTAGTACAGAAGGTTCTACTAATTAAAATTACTCAATAGCAATAAATAATTATATTATGCCTATTAAGTAAATAAATGTGAGATTCTTTCCATAAATCTCAGTTGTGGTATATATAAAGACTAGTACAACACCCGTATATTACACGGGTGCTTATTAAAAAATTATTCTTAAATTTTAAAATTAATAAGAAAACTAAAAAATCTAGTTTACTTTTTTACAAAAAAATATATTACTCTATATTTTAGAATGATATGTGTTATTTATGACTTACATGTGTTATATTGTATTAGTTTTTATAACTTAAATCATATAACTACTTGAAATATAAATATATTACTTGATAAATAATTTTATTTTTCTAATTAATATTAAAAATAATTTTATTATTGTTATAAAGATAAATATAAATTATTTTTTTGATACATACAATATGGATGTTAAATCGAAGCTCATCAAAAGAAGATTAATTTGATATATTACATATGTAAAACTGATAAAAAAAACAAAAGTTATTAACTTTTAAAATATATATACAATTCAATAGTTATAATAAGAATGGTATTAAAATGAAATTAATACATGTAACATGGCCATAAATAATCAACATATTTATGGTAATCCGAACCTAATTATTTTTTGTTTGAAATTAAATTAAAATTTATCCAAACCTAATAACGAAGCATGTAATTTTGCCACATAGGATTACGAAGCACCAGAAACAGCCACGTAAGCTCAGCGCGCTCCCTCCTCTCTCTAGTTTCTCTCTCTAGAACCCTAGCCCTACCTTCATCCGCTCACCTCCTCCTCCTTGCTGGCGCCCGTCGTCGCCGGCGGCGACCGCCTGGCCCCGCG